AGGAGGACATTCCCCAGAAGGAGAACCACCACTGAGAAGGTCCTGATGGGTCAACACGAACCAGTCAGCCCTTAGTCGTCTGTTTCATGTGGCCTAGTATTTGCCTAGTCTGTCTGGAAGGATCATAGAAAAAAATACCTCCCCAACAATCTACAACAATCTACAACCTGGCTTTTTTAGCTGGAGGTGCTGTAGATTTAACCTGGGAATTCCTGAATGTGAAGCATTGCCCTGCTATTAAGCTCCCAGCCCACCCTCCATTTCAAAGTATTTTATTATTGATTTCCCCTCCTTGCTACAAGAACCTTGGGTATGTGAACCTGGCAAGCACACCATTCCCCTCCCCCAGCCATCGTATAGTCAATCAAAAGATGTGGCACACTCACACCATTTGAATGGCAATGCCCATCAACTGGGGGGGGGGAGCTCGGCCCCCTCAAATATTCCTGGGGGGGAGGGACCTCAGGCCCTAGGAGTTGGCTCCTATGATGGCCCCACCGCTATGTACCTGCTGAGCCTGAAGGGCACCCCAAAGGACCCCACTCCAAGGCAGCGTAAGGTAGCAAAGAGTGCCCTTAACCCAATAATCGTTCAGGTGTTTACCTCACCAGATCTTAACTTGTCTTTTCAGACTGAAAGCCAATTAAACAAAACAAAAACACCACCCAAGTCCCAAGGCCAATCCAGGGCTTCCCCTCAAATTCCTACTCAGTCCCCCAACTAGGAAAGACCCTCCTGCCCAGAGCAGGTGCTGCAAAGAGAAGAGCAGGCTGCTTGGGCAGCGCCAGCTTATAAAACCTGCCTTTTTCCCCATCCTGATTGGCCTGACGGCCCCCCTGACCCTTCCTTCCCCTCCTCCTCCACAGGACAAAACCACAGTGCGTCTTCTTCCCTGGGGGTTGGAGTGAGGCAAATTCACCCCCAATGAAGAGTGGAAGCAGCATTGTACATTGTACAATGTTCAGCGAATGTATGCAAATGCTCAGCAAATACATGAGGCTGCTAAGGTTCTGCCTTCCTTTACTTGCAAACTACTGAGCAGTTCTAGCGGGTTGCTGGGGAAAACCTCAAGGAACACCACCTCTGATTGCAAGACTATTGTGTTCACATTGCTTCTTAATTAATGTTCATTTGCCTAAAATGTGATTCTCGGAATATATATATATATATATATATATATATATATATAGTCTCCTGTAGGTGTGAAAAGCTGATAAGCATTTGCTGGGAGATGGAATAGACCACACAGCTGAAGCCAATCAAATTGTTCCCAACACGGGTATCAAAAGGTAGTTTGTTTATGCCTTTTTCTGCAGATGATGCCTGACTGCAGGAGAAAAATAATTGGCATGCAATAAAAAACAAAAACAACCCATTTGCAGGGTTGAAAATTACCCCAAAGGAGAGAGAGAAATTACCAGCCTGCAGATATGAGAATGCTTGAAACGGAGGGGAAATTATCCAGACACAACAGTAGTTCCTCTTCTGAAAGGCAGGGCTCTGCCCCCCAATCTGTCCTCTCTGATAAGTAATTTTTATCAAGAGTTTTCTGGCAATGAAGGCATTTCTGCCAGCACAGAAAGGTCTATCTTAATTGTGGGACAGGGGCTATATTTTGTCCCATGCACCACTTGGAAATTCCTGGAGCTCTTGGCAAACCACTTAATGATTTTTCTGCATGTTGTAGCAATTGTATTTTTACAGACACACACAGATGATTTGAACAATGCTCATAGTTTGGGAACCCCTGGGGTAGACAAGATTGGACCAATGATCTGGGCCCATAAAAGAAAGCTTCATATGTGTGTCTGATGCACAAAACCATTTGTATGCATTTGACTTTAGAGCTATGTTGAAAATATTGCTTGGACTTTTGAGAAGTTTATGAAAATAACCATAACACATTGTCTTAAAATGTAGTGGGTTTTCTTTTTGCAATTAAAACTTCAGTAAATCTAAGAACAGACCCTTTTTGAACCTTGTCTTCAGCTTCCTCTTCCCCACCTTGCAAAAACCCTTTTGCTTCAATCATTAGGGTCAGAATTTAGTCAGTAATTAGGCTAGACTGGGCAGATTTATATGGGGTGAGAACATCCTTGTTATAATACCAATTCTGCAGCCATAAAGCATTAAAGAGAAGATTGAACTTAAAAGGTGAATCGAAAAGTGAGGAGGCTGGTTGCAAACACTTGTAAAAACACAGTTTTTACAGCATCAAAGGGCAAATTTATATATATATTACACACACACACACACACACACACACACTATAAAGATAAAAGCAGCAGCATTGTGAGGGGGGAAAGAGATAAAACCAAAGTTATGAAGCTTGAAGATTGAAAGTGGCAACAAGACTGAAAACAAAGGAAAAATTATTATCTTTATCATTTTATTGTTATTGTAGTGGTTAAGAGCGGTGGACTCGTAATCTGGTGAACCTGGTTCACTTCCCCGCTCCTCCACCTGCAGCTGCTGGGGGACCTTGGGCCAGTCACTAAAGTTTCTCAGCCTCACTCACCTCACAGAGTGTTTGTTGTGGGGGAGGAAGGCAAAGGAGATCGTTAGCCGCTTTGGGACTCCTTAGGGTAGTGATAAAGCGGGATATCAAATCCAAACTCCTCTTCTTCTTCTTCTTCATTTCATATTAAACATCTCAAAGAGATATCACAATACAATAAAAACATCTACACTTTCCTATATAAAAAAATTAATCATATCCAAAGTTAGTCCTGGCCAGAGTAAACCTATGGAGCTTAATAGACATAAGCAACTTGGGTCCACTGATTTCATTGGATCCACTTTGAGTAGAACTTAGTAGGATGCCAGTCAATTAAAATCATTGTACAGTGGTACCTCGGGTTACATACGCTTCAGGTTACAGACTCCATGAACCCAGAAATAGTACCTCGGGTTAAGAATTTTGCTTCAGGATAAGAACAGAAATCGTTCTCTGGCGGCGTGGCAGCAGCAGGAGGCCCCATTAGCTAAAGTGGTGCTTCAGGTTAAGAACAGTTTCAGGTTAAGTACGGACCTCCGGAACGAATTAAGTACTTAACCCGAGGTACCACTGTATATCTTAAAAACATCAAATCTCATACAGATGTGGGCTGGGATAGCAGAAGAAGCATAAAAACAAAAATCTTAAAGCTGAAAATGTAAAATCTGACAGAACATTTGCACTGTCTCATCAGCATAGAAATGGCATCAGAGGCCAAAAGAATGAATAATGGAGTGGGGGGGGGATATAGATGAAATAAAGAGTGATTGCTTCATCCATGTTTTATGGCCATCAAGCTGCCTTTCATCATATGGATGTGCCTAACAGGTTGAAAGTGGTCTGCAATTGCTCATCACCTCCTGGACATCAAAACTGAAAGGAAGATGGGGGTGGGGGCAGTACTGATCCATTTTTGATGCTCTTCTCTGCTCCTCCCACAGATGGGTGTCAAGGTGGGAGCTGGGAGCAGGTCAGCAATAACTCACAAGGTGTGAATGAAATTGACACTTTATTCAAAGAAATAAAATAGCTCAGGCTTTGTGAGCACAGAAATTCTTCTCAGTAGGTCTTGCCCACAAGGAGGCAGTTGTTGCCTTCTTCCCACCACTAAGTCTCCTCCTCTCCTAGGTTCCAAAGCAACCTGAGACTTTTTTGCCTTGTCTATCTTTGCTCCGCCCTCTTCATACCCCTATGGGTTCTAGGAGACCAGGGGGAAGGGGAGTTGGTCACTGCAGGAGGGAGAGACTCCCTGACTTCTTCAGCAGCTTGCCCCATCTATCTTTTTGGCCTCCACTTCTGCCTCTGCTTCTGGACTGCTCTCTGCCTCAGCTTCTTCCTGCTCACTAAACCCTTTACCTCTTCAGCTTCTGACGCCTTCTCCTCCCAGTCTGCTCCCTCTTCTCCCTCTGACCACTCATCGTCATCCCACCATCAATCCCCTGGCTCTGAGCTTTCTTCCTTAGGGGTTCCCCAGCTGGTACCTCCCACCATTCCTCAGCATTCAGCCAGTCCATGACAGTGGGACATGGGACAAGGCCTCCAAGTAGTAACAGGTCAAGGATGTTTGAGTAGGAGAAGGTGGTGCTTGAGAAATTCAATTCCCGGCTTGTTTAAAGCCTTGAAGCAAGTGGGCCGCCAATAATTTGGAATTTTGCAAAAGTGCTGTTAAGTATCCAATCTGCCACCAAAAAGAAAGTTTAATTAAGAATTATGGGGGTGAAGGAGACAAGCTGGGGGGGGAGGTCTTGAATCACTGCAATCTTTTGTTGCATTCCCCCCTTCCTGATTTGCTGGTATTTGGTGAATGGCCTTGTACTTGAGTGATTAAGGCTGCTCACCCTCCTGGAGCTTACCTGGGAGTAAATCCAATTAAGCCCAGCGGGAGCGCCTTCCAAGGAAATATTCATAGGATTGAACATTAAGTAGGGATGGATGAATCTGTCAGTTTTGGGTTCTCTCACTGCCTCATTTTTCCAGTCTTAAATTCAATTTTCCACATTTCTCCAGCAATTCATGATTTTTGTTTTTAAACTTCATGAAAATTAATCATTATTTCAGTGCACATTCTCCTAATACATCTATTTCTATAAGCAATTTTGCCTGATATACACATTTTTTCAAGTCATTTCCCCTAATTTGGGGCATTTGCATGTGTTACTCTCACTAACATATGACGCACAGCGTAAATTCATAATTCAGAGTTTTAAAGAATAAGAGCTTTACTGAGTTAAAATAAACTTCTTCATAAACAACATGGTTCCAAACAGTTTGACTGAGATTACATACTGCTCTGCTCACAGCGGAAGCAGACAGACTCAGCTGAAAAACTTACAGAGAGCACAAAAGAGAAACTGGCTGCTAAGTCACATGACAGAGTGACTCCCCAGTTAGAAGTTAGGCCTGAATAACTTTAGGAGGCCCAAATGATTGTGCAGTCCCAGCACTTCCCAGCCTGCTTTGCTGCTCCTGCTCTCAGGTGTCTTTGTCACATGACAACATATGCATATTGATTTGCACTTTACCCTTCCATGCACACTATTTGGTTGGAGATCTGCATTTGGGGAAATGCGGGTTTTGAGAGAGAGCTGTCTTGGAAAGTGCAATTTTTAATCCTAAACAAAACATTTTCTACTCCATCCAGTTAATGGGCAATAAGTCCCATTGGATTCAGCAAGGCTTTCTTCTGCAGAGGTGTGCACAGTATAAAGCAATGTGCATTGTAAACCAGTTTCGGTATTTCATTAACACACTTGATTAACCAAATTACACCCTACTTTTCCTCCCAAAGGAACAGGATTGAAAATTCACCAACCATGCTCTCTGAAATTTCTCACTGAAATTTAGGATCCATCTCACAGCTGCCATGCATCTATGTGGCTAGCTATTTGGTTATTTATTTAGAGCATCTGCAGCATGCTCCTCAGCCCAAAAGGCTGCCAGAGTGGCTCCATATGATCAAATCAAGACAGTGCCTACACTGCCTTTTACAATCTAAAAAAATAAATAATCCATGACCCACAAGGGGAAAGAGACAGGGAGGTAAGATGAAAGTCAAAAGCCAAATTCAGGCACCAGTTTTTAAGCCGTTTTCTCTCTAAGGAGCAGCTGGGCCTCCCGCAAAGATGGCCAAATGAGCCCTGCTCATGAGGCAATCAGATGGAACAGCTGCCTCCAGGTGACCCTGTTTATTTGCCCTGACTGGTGTCATTAGGCTTGCGTCAACCTCCCTCAATAAAGCTGGGAGCTAGGGAACGTGATGGTTCTGAAGGTCTGAGATTCTCTGCATTTGGTAGTGTTTCCTAATATCCAGTAGCATGTGGGATAACCAGCCTCATATATCCAACATGCTTAAATCTAATTAATGTAAGCAGTAAGCTTTCCTGCCAGGCTTACCTCACCTTGGGAGAAACTATTTTGTTCCCCACCTGAAAAGCTCAGCATGTAAAGAGGTCTAAGGTGGTTGCTCCATGCTCGGACTGTATGGCTTTTACAATCCATTATTGTGTTTCTATACCAATAATTTAGGAATTTTCACGACTCTAACTAAGCCAAGCTTTACTGCCTATGTTTTCTGACTGGTGTGTGGAAAAGCACATGAATCTGACGTTTGGAGAGTTTATAACAATTTTGAACTTACCAAACACATGGTCTTTTTCTATGCTGTAAGAAGAGGGGAACTTTGGAAGGAACTTAGAAGGGCATAGTTTCAAGATCTAATAGCCTGTATTCCCACACTTCGTTGCATAATTTGTATTTTTAAATCTCAACACTGCAAGGGCTCTTATAACATAAAGGGAAAACTTGAGACCACTTGTCCCTCAATCAGAGGAGCAAAGTAAGGATGAGGCATGTTGAAAACAAAACTGGGATCTTTTTTTTTCCCACAAGTAAATTTTATTGTTTTCCTTACATATTCTTTTCCCACAAATTGTATCAACACCATACATTCCCTTTGACTCTGCCGAGTCGCGACCCCCGTCCCTCCCCACAACCGGTATATTTAACCCCTTTCCATCGCGCACATCATTCTCATATTAGTACTATTATACATTGGAGGTATTATGTCAATCCTGCTAGTGTTTTGACCTCTTTACAGTTCTTCTTTAAATATTCAATAAATTTACTCCAGTTATTTTGGTATCTTTGATCTTCCTGGTCCCGGATCCTCCCTGACAGTTTGGCAAGCTCTGCATATTCTGTCACCTTCACCTGCCACTCCTGGATAGTTGGTATATCTTGTACTTTCCATCTTTGGGTCAGAAGGGTTCTCGCGGCAGCTGTAGCATACATGAACAAATTTTGATCTCCCATTTTAATTTCTGTTCCTATTAAACCTAATAGACACACTTCTGGTCTTTTAGGGAAAGTACCGTATTTTTTGCACCATAACACTCACTTTTTTCCTCCTAAAAAGTAAGGGGAAATGTCTGTGCGTGTTATGGAGGGAATGCCTACGGGTGGCAGGCCTACGGATTTTCCTTCTCTAAAAACTACGTGCGTGTTATGGTCGGGTGCGTGTTATAGAGCGGAAAATCCAGTATATCTAAATATTTTTTTGAGTTCGTTAGAAATTGATTCCCAAAAATTTTTTACCTTATCGCAGGTCCACCACATATGGAAATAGTCCCCATCTGCCTTTTTACATTTCCAACACTTTCTTTCTTTTCTTCTATACATTTTAACTAATTTTACTGGCGTCAAATGCCATCTATACATCATTTTAAGCAAGTTTTCCTTTAAAGCCATGCATCCTGTGAATCTCGAACCCTCCTGTAATGGTTCTAGGGGTTGCTCGTGCGTAAGCAGGTGCCTATCTCCCCGGCTGGGTGCAAACACCTGGTTGGGTTGCCAAAGTGAACCTTTTCTGTCCGGACAGCCACTCACCCGTGGCTGACTCAATCGCTGGCAGAATCCGTGAGTGGGCGTTTCTTAAACTTTTTCCAGCAAAGAAGTTCTTTGACGCCTAGTCTCTGCCTACCCTCTCTGCGCTGACGCCTTCTGCGCAGGGAGGGCGTGGGCAACGGAGGACCCCTACTCTCCCCACTGGTCCCAGGCAAGGAGTCATGAGACCGCCTCGCCACTTCCCCCAGCTGCCCCCCTTGTCCCCTGGTGCTACGCTGATTCACTTCCCCAGAAGACGGGCTGCTCCTCCCAATCCCTGGACACTCTCTGGAATCCCTCTGGCTTTCGCTCTCCCCCTCCAGTACTGATGGCAGTTCCCTGACACCTCCTGCCATAATCTTTTCCACGCATCCAATTCAATGTTATGCCCAATTTCAGTTGCCCATTTTATCATTGATTCCTTTACTTCTTCGTCTTTTGTATACCATTCTAGCAATAAACTGTACATTCTTGATAAAAAAAAATTTCTTTACAATCTATTAACTCGATTTGGAATTTCGATTTTTTATCTTCGAACCCATTTCTCTTTTTATCTTTCTTTAGTAAGTCACTAATCTGATGGTATTGCAGCCACCCTGTTAACATCTTTTCAATTTGGTCATATGGTTTGAGCTTTATCCCTTGGTCTGTTTTCCTAGTAATAACCTCATATGTTACTCTTTCCCCCTCTATGTTTACTTTTTTTGTTGTCAGCACCTCAATTGGTGATATCCACCACGGTGTCTTTCTTTCTAGGAGGTTTTTATTCCGATCCCATACTTCATATAAAGATTTCCTAATCACATGGTTCAGAAAACCTTTATGTACCTTTACTTTGTTATACCATAGGTACGAATGCCAACCATATCTATTGTCGTGGCCCTCTAAATCTAATAAGTCAGTGTTTTCTAAAGTCAGCCAATCTTTTAACCATACCAAGCACAAAGCTTCATAATATAAAGTCAAGTCTGGTAAATCAAAACCTCCTCTCTCTTTCCTATCTACTAGTATCTTCATTTTTATCCTTGGCCTTTTCCCCTGCCAGACAAATTTCGCTAATTATTTTTGCCAATCCTTAAATTGTCTTATCCCTTTTACCACTGGTATTGCTTGAAGTAGAAATAGCAATCTGGGTAGTATATTCATTTTTATCACAGAGATTCTGCCTAATAGTGACAATTTTAGTCTGCTCCATATATCCATATCTTTCTTAATTTTTTTCCATACAGCCTCATAATTGTCCTTGTACAAGTTTATATTTTTTGTTGTCATCCAAATTCCTAAATATTTTATTTTTTTAGCTATTGCAATCACTGAATCTGCTTGTAATTCTTCCATCTCTTCTTTCTTCAAATTTTTTGCTAGCATTTTCGTCTTGTTTTTGTTGAGTTTAAACCCTGATACCTTCCCAAACTCTTCCATTCTTTTTATTGCCTCTTTTACACTTTGTCTTGGTTCTTCCAACGTTAAGACTAGGTCGTTAATGCCTCTGACTTCTGATGATTCTCTTAGCTTCTTGTTCAAGACCTCTAGGATTGTAATAAATAACAAGGGAGACAAAGGACATCCCTGCCTGGTACCTTTAGTTATCTCAAAATTATCTGATATGTTGTTATTAATTATTAACTTAGCTTTTTGGTCCGAATAGATCGTGTCAATACCTCTCAAAAAAATTTCACCAATTCCTAATACTTTTAAGTTTTCTTTCATGAAATGCCAAGAAACATTATCAAACGCGTTTTCTGCGTCTATAAACATTAGTACTGCCTGTTTCTCATTTCTGACTTCAAGATATTCAATTATATCTATTAAGTTTCTTACATTGTCCCTTAGTTGCCTCCCCGGCAAAAAGCCTGTTTGGTCTTTGTGTATCACCTTATTTAACACCATTTTTAGTCTATTCGCTAGTATATCCACAAATAACTTATACTCGTTATTCAATAACGAAATTGGTCTAAAAAATTTTACATCTAGTATATCCACTTCTTTCTTCGGGATCAATGTAATATAGGCTTCTTTCCAGGTATTTGGCATCCTTCCTTCTCTTAAGACTTTATTCATTACTTCACTTAAAACAGGTGTCAGGTATTGCGATAGTGTTTTATAATACTTTGCTGAGATACCGTCCGGTCCTGGGGCCTTCCCTATTTTCATTCTTTTTATTGCCTTCATGACCTCTTGTTCTCTTGACCTCTTGATCTCCTGCTTAAGCATTCTTTTTTCTTCTTTTGAGATTTGATGTGATTTATGGTCTTGGATATACTTCCAATACTTTGCGATGAGTATTCTTGCTGCTGTTGTTGCGTACATAAAGAAAGTTCTATCCTTTTTTAACACCGATTGGCCAACTATGCCCAAGAGAAAGGCCTCTGGTTTCTTCAAGAAGGTATATTTAAATACCTTTTTAAATTCATTATATATCATTTCCCAGAAAGCCTTAATCTTTGGGCACGTCCACCAAAGGTGAAAAAATGTACCTTCAGTTTCTTTACATTTCCAACATTTATTATCGGGCAAATGGTAGATTTTTGCAAGCTTGACTGGGGTTATGTACCACCTGTATATCATTTTCATAATATTCTCTCTTAAGGCATTACATGCCGTAAATTTCATGCCTGTGGTCCATAACTGCTCCCAGTCAGTGAACATAATGTTGTGACCAACGTCTTGTGCCCATTTAATCATAACAGATTTCACCGTTTCATCCTGAGTGTTCATTTCAACAGCAAGTTATACATCTTTGACAAATTCTTAGTTTTGGGTTCTAACAATTCAGTTTCTAATTTTGATTTTTCCACCTGGAAGCCAATTTTCTTGTCCAAATTAAATGCCTCCATTATCTGAAAATAATGAAGCCAGTCTCGCACTTTGTTTTTTAGTTTTTCAAAACTCTGCAATTTCAGTCTATCTCCATCTTGTTCCAAAATTTCCCAATATTTCGGCCATTTGACCTTCATATTGAGTTTTTTCAAGGCTTTCACTTCCATTGGTGACAGCCACCTTGGAGTTTTGTTTTCTAATAAATCCTTGTATCTTATCCAAACATTAAGCAGTGCTTTCCTGACAATGTGATTTTTAAATGCTTTATGTGCTTTGACCTTATCATACCACAGATATGCATGCCATCCAAATACGTTGTTAAAACCTTCTAAATCCAAAATATCAGTGTTTTCAAGAAGCAGCCATTCTTTCAGCCAGCAAAAAGCTGCTGATTCATAATGAAGTTTAAGGTCTGGCAGGGCAAATCCACCTCTTTCCTTTGCTTCCGTTAGTATTTTAAATTTTATTCTGGGCTTCTTGCCCTGCCAGACAAATCTAGAAATATCTTTCTGCCTCCTCTTGAAACAATCCATTTTGTCCACAATTTGCAAAGTTTGAAATAAAAACAACATTCTAGGCAATACATTCATTTTTATTGCAGCAATACGGCCCAGCAGTGAAAGCTTCAAATTTGACCAAATTTCTAAATCTTTTTTCACTTCAGCCCAACATTTTCCATAGTTATCTTTAAATAAATTCCCATTTTTTGCTGTCATGTTGATCCCCAGGTATTTAACTTTCTTAATCACTGTTAAACCTGTCACATTCTGAAACCTCTCTCTCTCCATTGGTGTTAGATTTTTCTCTAAAACCTTAGTTTTTGACTTGTTCAATTTAAATCCTGCAACTTGACCAAATTCTTGACTCAATTCTAAAACCCTTTTAGTACTAGATTCTGGCTCCTGTAACGTCAATACTAAATCATCTGCAAATGCTCTCAATTTGTACTCTTTAGCTCCGACCTGTATACCTTTAACCAACTGGTCCCTTCTAATCATGTTCAGCAAAACCTCCAGGACCGAAATAAAAAGAAGTGGGGAAATTGGGCAACCTTGTCGTGTCCCTTTTTCAATTTTAAGTTCTTCCGTGACCACATTATTTACAATTAATTTAGCCTTTTGTTCTGAATAAATTGCACTTATACCATTCTCAAAGCCTTGGCCTACCCCCATACCCTGTAGATTCTTCTTCATAAAGTTCCAAGAAATATTGTCAAAAGCTTTCTCCGCATCCACAAATATCAAAACTGCTTTAGTGTTTATATTCACTTCTAATTTTTCCAAAATATCAATTATATTCCTCAAATTGTCAGACAAATGTCTTCCTGGGAGAAAGCCCGCTTGATCTTTATGAATCTCTTCCATCAACACTTTTTTAAATCTCTTAGCCAAAATGTCAGCAAAAATTTTGTGATCCACATTAAGTAATGATATAGGGCGGTAGTTCTTAAGCTGTGTCTTTTCAGTCTCTGTTTTCGGTACAAGTGTAATATATGCTTCTTTCCACGACTCTGGTGCTCTTGTCCCCTCCATTATTTCATTGCAGACCTCTTTCAAAGGTTGTATTAACCATTCTTTCAAAGATCTGTAATATCTAGAAGTCAATCCATCCGGTCCTGGAGATTTACCCAATTGCATGTTTTGAATGGCACCTTCTACCTCTTGTTCAGTTATTTTATAGTTCAACATGTTCAACATTAGTTTGTTTTCTTGAGATATTTTTTGTAATCCATTTGTTTTCAAAAATTGATCTAGATCTGTTTCTTTCCGTGGCCCTTGCGTATATAGTTGTTTAAAGTACCTCTGGAAACAATTTCTAATCTCTGCTGGGTTCTGTATATTTCTTCCTTCCACTTCTAAGTTCGTGACTGTATTTAGTTTTTGTCTTTTTTTCATTTGCCATGCCAACAATTTACCACATTTATTAGCCGATTCAAATGTCTTTTGTCTCATTTGTTTAATTTTCCATTCTATTTCCTGATTCATCATTTTCATATATTGTACTTGATGTAACTTTAATTGTCTCAAAATCTCTTGAGATTTTGGATTTACTCTCAGTCTTTTTTC